GTTTATACTGGTCAGTTGCTGGTCTAGGTTTGTTTATACTGGTCAGTTGCTGGTCTAGGTTTGTTTATACTGGTCAGTTGCTGGTCTAGGTTTGTTTATACTGGTCAGTTGCTGGTCTAGGTTTGTTTATACTGGTCAGTTGCTGGTCTAGGTTTGTTTATACTGGTCAGTTGCTGGTCTAGGTTTGTTTATACTGGTCAGTTGCTGGTCTAGGTTTGTTTATACTGGTCAGTTGCTGGTCTAGGTTGGTTTATACTGGTCAGTTGCTGGTCTAGGTTGGTTTATACTGGTCAGTTGCTGGTCTAGGTTGGTTTATACTGGTCAGTTGCTGGTCTAGGTTGGTTTATACTGGTCAGTTGCTGGTCTAGGTTGGTTTATACTGGTCAGTTGCTGGTCTAGGTTGGTTTACCCTGTTTAATTGCTGGTCTAGCTGGTAAATCAGTATAGACATGCTGTTTTAGAAAAATTTGACCTAGTGAAACTGATCAGCCATGGAACCTGGCCACTGAATTGACATGTGTGATGTTGATGTGTGTGATTGGTGTGTTTTGTGTCCAGTTGTGTCCACAGTACTGGCCAGAGAACGGCGTCCATCGGCACGGACCCATCCAGGTGGAGTTTGTGTCTGCGGATCTGGAGGAGGACATCATCAGCAGGATCTTCCGCATCTATAACGCGGCACGGGTGAGTAAACGCTCGCTTACATTGCACACTTGCGCGAGAGTCGGCTGTTTGAGTGTCATGAACGTGTGGTTTGCGTGCAGCCGCAGGATGGGTACCGGATGGTGCAGCAGTTCCAGTTTCTGGGCTGGCCGATGTACCGCGACACTCCCGTCTCCAAACGCTCCTTCCTCAAACTCATCCGACAGGTGGACAAATGGCAGGAGGAGTACGACGGAGGAGAGGGACGCACCGTCGTGCACTGCCTGTGAGTCACCGCTCCTCAGATTATATACGTATATCCGTACTTAGAATATTTATCTTATTTTTGTTAACAGTAATGCAATATTTATTTAGCATATTTAGAATTAATATTTAGAATTAGATTTTTTTATTAAACATTTACATTTTGTTTGTAATATTTAGAATGAGATTTTATTAATATTTACAATGTTTTATTTATTTTTAATTTTTTTTTATGCATCAAGTTCAAGTTCATTTATTTATAAACCACATTTAAAAACAGCCACAAGACTGACCAAAATGCTGTACATTAAAATCAAACCATAAACACATAAAACAGAAAGAATAAAACATGAATTTAAAACCAAAGGAATGTCAGATAAACAAGACCATAATACAATGTAATAAGACTCCCCTCTACATTTTAGTCTGGACTGAGGAACTAAAAGGAGATTCTGATCACTGGATCTTAGACTTCTAGTGGGAGTATAAAAGTGCAACAGCTCTGAGAGATAACTAGGGGCTTGGTTATCTAAAGATTTATACACCAGTAAGAGAACTTTAAAATCGATTCTAAATTGAATAGGCAGCCAATGGAGGGCCCTCAGTATTGGGGTGATGCGACTAACATTCGCGACTATATTGAAGAAATCTAGCAGCAGCGTTTTGGACCAATTGAGAGATAACTAGGGGCTTGGTTATCTAAAGATTTATACACCAGTAAGAGAACTTTAAAATCGATTCTAAATTGAATAGGCAGCCAATGGAGGGCCCTCACTATAGGGGTGATGTGGTCACATTTGCGACTATTTTGAAGAAATCTAGCAGCAGCGTTTTGGACCAATTGTAGGCGAGTAATTTGCGACTTTGAAATACCGCAATATAGGGAGTTGCAGTAATCTAATCGTGAAGTAATAAAAGTGTGGACAGCCATCTCTAACGTCGTAGCATTTAAAAAGTGTTTGATTTTAGACAGCAAGCGGAGTTGGTAAAAACTGGAACCAATTACAGATGAGATATGCTTGTCCAATTTTAATGGCTCGTCAAGAAGGACACCTGAGAAGATCTGAAGCTGCCCAGATCTAGGCTGGTAGCCTGAGAATGATCAGTAGGACTGAAAACAATCACCTCTGTTTTATCTTCATTTAACGTTAAAAAATTTGAGCTAGTCAGATTTGGACCTCGTCTAAGCACCTTAGTAAGGTATTAAGTGCTGAAGGATAATTTCTCTTAATAGGTAAATAAATCTGGGTATCATCAGCATAGAAATTAAAAGATACCCCATGCCTTCTTAGAATGGAACCCAGAGGAAGCATGCACAGGGAAAAAAGGGAGGGTGCCAATATCGAGCCTTGAGGGATGCCACAGGTGAGAGGAGCAATGTTTATTTTATTTCAAGTAGGGCCTAATGAAATTTTTTTTTTAGTGGTTTTAGTTTTAGTTTCAGTCTTAGTTAACAATAATAACCTTGATTTAGACGCAATTACAGCAGCATCAGTCAGAACTGACAGCTGTGAGACTGAAATGTTTTATTTTAATGTACTGAAGTCACTGATAATCATATATGATGTGTGTTTCAGTAACGGCGGCGGGCGCAGTATCGTGTGTGAGATCTTTTATTGTGATGTGATGATGATGATTGTGTGTGTGTGTGAGAGTGTGTGTGTGTGTGTGTGAGAGTGAGTGAGTGAGTGAGTGAGTGAGTGTGTGTGTGTGTGAGTGAGTGAGTGTGTGTGTGTGAGAGTGAGTGAGTGAGTGAGTGAGTGAGTGTGTGTGTGTGTGAGTGAGTGAGTGTGTGTGTGTGAGAGTGAGTGAGTGAGTGAGTGAGTGAGTGTGTGTGTGTGTGAGTGAGTGAGTGTGTGTGTGTGAGAGTGAGTGAGTGAGTGAGTGAGTGAGTGTGTGTGTGTGTGAGTGAGTGAGTGTGTGTGTGTGAGAGTGAGTGAGTGAGTGAGTGAGTGAGTGTGTGTGTGTGTGAGTGAGTGAGTGTGTGTGTGTGAGAGTGAGTGAGTGAGTGAGTGAGTGAGTGTGTGTGTGTGTGAGTGAGTGAGTGTGTGTGTGTGAGAGTGAGTGAGTGAGTGAGTGAGTGAGTGTGTGTGTGTGTGAGTGAGTGAGTGTGTGTGTGTGAGAGTGAGTGAGTGAGTGAGTGAGTGAGTGTGTGTGTGTGTGAGTGAGTGAGTGTGTGTGTGTGAGAGTGAGTGAGTGAGTGAGTGAGTGAGTGTGTGTGTGTGTGAGTGAGTGAGTGTGTGTGTGTGAGAGTGAGTGAGTGAGTGAGTGAGTGAGTGTGTGTGTGTGTGAGTGAGTGAGTGTGTGTGTGTGAGAGTGAGTGAGTGAGTGAGTGAGTGAGTGTGTGTGTGTGTGAGTGAGTGAGTGTGTGTGTGTGAGAGTGAGTGAGTGAGTGAGTGAGTGAGTGTGTGTGTGTGTGAGTGAGTGAGTGTGTGTGTGTGAGAGTGAGTGAGTGAGTGAGTGAGTGAGTGTGTGTGTGTGTGAGTGAGTGAGTGTGTGTGTGTGAGAGTGAGTGAGTGAGTGAGTGAGTGAGTGTGTGTGTGTGTGAGTGAGTGAGTGTGTGTGTGTGAGAGTGAGTGAGTGAGTGAGTGAGTGAGTGTGTGTGTGTGTGAGTGAGTGAGTGTGTGTGTGTGAGAGTGAGTGAGTGAGTGAGTGAGTGAGTGTGTGTGTGTGTGAGTGAGTGAGTGTGTGTGTGTGAGAGTGAGTGAGTGAGTGAGTGAGTGAGTGTGTGTGTGTGTGAGTGAGTGAGTGTGTGTGTGTGAGAGTGAGTGAGTGAGTGAGTGAGTGAGTGTGTGTGTGTGTGAGTGAGTGAGTGTGTGTGTGTGAGAGTGAGTGAGTGAGTGAGTGAGTGAGTGTGTGTGTGTGTGAGTGAGTGAGTGTGTGTGTGTGAGAGTGAGTGAGTGAGTGAGTGAGTGAGTGTGTGTGTGTGTGAGTGAGTGAGTGTGTGTGTGTGAGAGTGAGTGAGTGAGTGAGTGAGTGAGTGTGTGTGTGTGTGAGTGAGTGAGTGTGTGTGTGTGAGAGTGAGTGAGTGAGTGAGTGAGTGAGTGTGTGTGTGTGTGAGTGAGTGAGTGTGTGTGTGTGAGAGTGAGTGAGTGAGTGAGTGAGTGAGTGTGTGTGTGTGTGAGTGAGTGAGTGTGTGTGTGTGAGAGTGAGTGAGTGAGTGAGTGAGTGAGTGTGTGTGTGTGTGAGTGAGTGAGTGTGTGTGTGTGAGAGTGAGTGAGTGAGTGAGTGAGTGAGTGTGTGTGTGTGTGAGTGAGTGAGTGTGTGTGTGTGAGAGTGAGTGAGTGAGTGAGTGAGTGAGTGTGTGTGTGTGTGAGTGAGTGAGTGTGTGTGTGTGAGAGTGAGTGAGTGAGTGAGTGAGTGAGTGTGTGTGTGTGTGAGTGAGTGAGTGTGTGTGTGTGAGAGTGAGTGAGTGAGTGAGTGAGTGAGTGTGTGTGTGTGTGAGTGAGTGAGTGTGTGTGTGTGAGAGTGAGTGAGTGAGTGAGTGAGTGAGTGTGTGTGTGTGTGAGTGAGTGAGTGTGTGTGTGTGAGAGTGAGTGAGTGAGTGAGTGAGTGAGTGTGTGTGTGTGTGAGTGAGTGAGTGTGTGTGTGTGAGAGTGAGTGAGTGAGTGAGTGAGTGAGTGTGTGTGTGTGTGAGTGAGTGAGTGTGTGTGTGTGAGAGTGAGTGAGTGAGTGAGTGAGTGAGTGTGTGTGTGTGTGAGTGAGTGAGTGTGTGTGTGTGAGAGTGAGTGAGTGAGTGAGTGAGTGAGTGTGTGTGTGTGTGAGTGAGTGAGTGTGTGTGTGTGAGAGTGAGTGAGTGAGTGAGTGAGTGAGTGTGTGTGTGTGTGAGTGAGTGAGTGTGTGTGTGTGAGAGTGAGTGAGTGAGTGAGTGAGTGAGTGTGTGTGTGTGTGAGTGAGTGAGTGTGTGTGTGTGAGAGTGAGTGAGTGAGTGAGTGAGTGAGTGTGTGTGTGTGTGAGTGAGTGAGTGTGTGTGTGTGAGAGTGAGTGAGTGAGTGAGTGAGTGAGTGTGTGTGTGTGTGAGTGAGTGAGTGTGTGTGTGTGAGAGTGAGTGAGTGAGTGAGTGAGTGAGTGTGTGTGTGTGTGAGTGAGTGAGTGTGTGTGTGTGAGAGTGAGTGAGTGAGTGAGTGAGTGAGTGTGTGTGTGTGTGAGTGAGTGAGTGTGTGTGTGTGAGAGTGAGTGAGTGAGTGAGTGAGTGAGTGTGTGTGTGTGTGAGTGAGTGAGTGTGTGTGTGTGAGAGTGAGTGAGTGAGTGAGTGAGTGAGTGTGTGTGTGTGTGAGTGAGTGAGTGTGTGTGTGTGAGAGTGAGTGAGTGAGTGAGTGAGTGAGTGTGTGTGTGTGTGAGTGAGTGAGTGTGTGTGTGTGAGAGTGAGTGAGTGAGTGAGTGAGTGAGTGTGTGTGTGTGTGAGTGAGTGAGTGTGTGTGTGTGAGAGTGAGTGAGTGAGTGAGTGAGTGAGTGTGTGTGTGTGTGAGTGAGTGAGTGTGTGTGTGTGAGAGTGAGTGAGTGAGTGAGTGAGTGAGTGTGTGTGTGTGTGAGTGAGTGAGTGTGTGTGTGTGAGAGTGAGTGAGTGAGTGTGAGTGAGTGTGTGTGTGTGTGTGTGTGTGTGTGAGAGTGAGTGAGCGTGCGTGCGTGCGTGCGTGTTTCAGTAACGACGGTGGGCGCAGTATCGTGTGTGAGATGTTTTATTGTGATGTGATGATGATGATCGTGTGTGTGTGTGTTTCAGTAACGGCGGCGGCCGCAGCGGCACGTTCTGTGCCATCAGTATCGTGTGTGAGATGTTGTGTCACCAGCACTCGGTGGACGTCTTTCACGCCGTCAAAACACTGAGAAACAACAAACCCAACATGGTGGATCTGCTGGTGAGCGTCAGAACATCCACATCCACACCTGACAGCGGTTTGAGCATCTACTGAGGATCTTACTGGTGCAAAACCAAAGGGCAAATCAGTCTAACACTGACATTTAAACACTGTTTAATGATTAAAACTAATAATAATAATAATGCTCATACAGTATATGTTCAATCGTGCGATGTCAGTGTAGTTGTCATGGCAGCAGGCCTGTGCAAAATATCTAATAAAATGTTTAGTAAAAAAAAAACAGCATTCAGATATTTGTAGAGCACAATTTTTCTGTATTCAGTTGTTAAGGTTTAATTAGGTATTAATCATCAAAAATCATATCTAATCAGTTGATTTCATAAAACTTTTATAATTTAATAATTCATTAAATCATCAAAATGTTCCTATAAAAGAATTCATAAAACTTTTAAAATATCATCTAACTTTCAAAATGTATTTAGTCAAGTAAAAAACAATTTTTATATAAAATGCAGTATTTTGTTTTAAAGGAATTGTTATACAAAAAATGTTGCATTTCTATTTTATTTTTTTAAAAATTATTATTTCAAATAAAGTATAAAAGTAAAAAAAGAAAGTGTATTATCATGTCTACCACCACTAACAACTTAACCTTTAAAATAATAAATGTTTATGTAGGTTTCATACATTTTGACTGTTTTTGAGCAATCATGAGTTATAAATGGAAATGAATTCATTCTAATAGTGTTGATGCTGGTGATTCTCAGATTATATGTTCTTATAAATTTCATACAATTATATATTCAAATGTAATTTCACATCAGTATTGAGAAGAAAGAAAAAAAATATATATATATATTGCATCGTGGTTTTGTTAGGTTGGATGAGTAATTTTACATTTCAAAGAGTTTTCTAAATTTTTTAATGAGTAAGAAGGGGTAAATGCAGTAATAATGTGGTAACGTTCAAAACTTTAAATTTTTTTCACATCGACTCATTAATGAGAAGTTGCTGATCACATGGTTTTAGTTGAAAAATAATAAGTTATGACTGTTTTATAAAATAAAAAATTTTCTGGTCCAGAGTAAGAAAATAGCATATAGATTTTGAATGCATTATGAGGGTTAAATAGTTAAACGTTGTGTTGACATACTGTGTTACACTGACCTCTGCTGGTGTGTGTGTGTGTGTGTGTGTGTGTGTGTGTGTTTCTCCTGCAGGATCAGTATAAGTTCTGCTATGAGGTGGCACTGGAATACTTGAATTCTGGGTAATGTGAGCAGAAGCTGCTCTAATGTCTCACCTTCCCCCGGACACTGAAACTGGAGCAGAACACACAAGCCGAACCGAACCGATGTTTCCCTGCACTCGCCTCACGATTATCTCCATCTGCTCGTGTCTTCTGTTCCTCAACACGTTTCTTGCCGTCGTCTCCTCATCAGACGAGTGTCTTCATGTTTGTGTGGAATGCACATCACGTGGATGTTGATTTTATCATTGTTTTTATGAACTCCAGGCGTCCGGCATGTACAGTCGATCATGCGTGGCATTAAAGCGCTCATATTACTGCGTGTTTCTGCCCTCTCTGTGGTTGTGTTTGTGTGGAACGATGGAAAAACTGCTGAAACGTCCTGTCCCAAGATCCAAAGCTTGTGTTCGTGATCATTTCTTTTGTTTATACTGTAAATAGATGAAGTTCACCAGATAATTTATTCATTGACAGATTTTTGTGAAGCACACCGAGTGACAATCATGTTTTAATTTGGTCATTATTATCATACGGACTCCACATATAATAGTGACCAGATTGTATTGTTAACTTTTTATTTATCTGGTATGAAAACAAAAAACTAAATCAAACCTATAAATGCATATCTATATCTGCCAAACCCGTCGTCTGTGTGTTTTTTGTGCAAATAGCATTGGACCTGTTGCTGCAGTGTGTACTGTAGTATATACTTTAGTATGTATTTTCTTATGCATTTAATATCCATTGACCTATTACATCTGTTAGATACCTATTCCAAATGCAACAGTGTGATTTTAATATTAAAGTTTTTATTAATAATATGAGTTTTTTTAGTTTAGTGTGTGGGTGGTAGTGCGGGCGAGGGCTCCCTCTGCTGGCTTGGTGCTACATTTAGTTGTTTTGTTCAATTGTTTTTAATTTTTATAAATTAAAAACTAATAAACAGCATTTTCCTTAAAGCTTAATTTAAGTAAAATAAACGTTAGCTGACCAAAACATTAAAAAAATTACCTAAAAGAAATTAATTCAAAAATTAATAAATCAGAAATGTTATCTGAAATAATATATGCTTAAGTGGTAAAATTACTAAAACTAAAATAAACATTTTTATCTTTTATGATAAATATATTTTTTTGATGTAGTAAATAACTAAAACCTAAACTAAAATTAGCATAAAATATAAAAATTTAAAATATTAATAAACCGTGTAACAGTATACTTGGGGCTAATATTTAGAGCTAAATTTAAGTTTTATTTGAATTGCATATAAAATTTCTGACAGATGCAGCACATTAAGTTTATTAGTTTGTTAAAACTCCAAATGGATGGAAATTTTATATGAAATTTTAGTTCTTTTGAGTTTGCATCAGTGATAATGAAATTGGAAGATTATCACGGAATCACATTTCTGTTCCTCACACAAAACTATCTTATGACTTCAGAAGACTCATATAGAGTTATGATGCTTCTGTAGTGCATTTATGATACTTTTATGTCGTTGTTGCTGTTGTTTTAGAGCTGAAGCTGGCAGACATGCTCTCTCTATAAGATCCGTTGTTTTAGAGCTTCATGAAGATACTTCATATATTCTTTTGTGTTTCACAGGAAAATCCGTGCAGGGGCATCAGTTAATGATGACAGAAAGAGAATTTTTGGAAGAATTATTCCTGCATATTCAACAGCAATCACAGAACTCTAAAACCGAGTCAGTTTTCACAAACGATTCAGTGCAGCTTTTGTGAAAAATAATGTATTTGTCAGTGCAGCTCCTGATCAGATGTTTTATTGAAGAGGTAAACTAGGTAACAGAATTTATATTATGTTGAAATATAAATTGTTATAAACTATCCCCTTTAAAATATAATGAAGCTGCAGTCTGATTTTTTATTTTTTTTGTCCTTCACCCAAACCAGGAAATGACACAAATGATGAATTATACAGTAAATGATTATGAATCTAAAATTCTAAATCTTTGAACAGTATGGAATATTATTAGGCCTTCTTATGTTATGAGCTCAAATATGTATTTAAGCAATAATCCAGGTAACAGGTAAGGTTCTGGCAAGGTTCTCTCAAAGTTATGAACAAACGTTCTTCCAGTAACAATAGAATGTTTGTTCAGAGGGATCTTTAATAAAGTTCTCAAAACGTTAGAACATTGTTTTTTGAAAGTTTTTCTGAAACATTTTTAAATGTTACTTCGTTTCAAATGGTTCAGAGTACGTTAAAAGGTAACATTCCCATAATGTTTACAAAATGATGAAATGGAATGTTGCCTCTAACGTTCATGTTACATTAAACCTTTAAGAAAACATAAAAATAAAAAAAAAGTTTTTGAAAAAAGATGAAAAAACATGCTATTTTCTGGTTAATAGTTGAATCTGTTTTTAAATAAAATAAATAAATAAATAGTTTGTAGGTTTAACCTTCCAGAAGAGGGCAGCAGACACTAGCTTTTAGGCTTTTTCATGCAAAGTCTAAATAGCATCAAGAATTTAAAAAGAACAAATATAAATATGATGTTAATGGAGGTAAACTCTGAAAATATACTTTTAAGAATAAGGGAATAAATTAAACCTTTTTGCACTAGCAAGTTGGAAAGTGGTTACTATTTGAAACAATATTCCCCAAAACTTTTTTTTTTTTTGATTAGAGAAAGAGAAATTTTGAGAAACACCTGAATTATTTCAGAGTAAATAGTCAGTTTTACATGTTTCACAGCTTTTAAAATCTTTGTCAGAAAGTGCTACTTGCTGATTGAACATCTCAATTCGGCCGTCCTGCACTTCCAGCAGACTTCCAGAAGATGACAGTAAAACCCACAGTAATGTAAAAAACTGCACATTGTGGAGATTCAGCTACAGAATGAACTTATTTTCTACCCATTTCTACCCTCAAAACTTAGTTTTACACACAAATAAATGACTAGTAGTTTAAAATCACGTTAACTCGCATGAGATGAAGACTCACTCATATCAGTGAAAGCGGTTTTATTTCATGCGGAGCAGGTCAAACATTGAGATCACAAGCCAGATGAATAACAGTCACTTTATACTAGTTTATCAGAGACATTCAGTTACAGAAAGATCAAACTAGCGTGACAGCTCAGATTTCACATGATAAAGCAGAAACATCGCTGTAGATATCTCACTATTTTTAGTTAATTCATCTTTCTAGATCTCACTGTGTAATGGCTATGGTGTTTGGTGTGATCTTCTCCAGTTTCTCCTTCACGCTCTCGTACTCTTTCTGCCACTCTTCTGTGGACAGAGATGAAGGACTGATCTCCAGGAATGTGTAGGCCTGACTCGACTGAACGCTGAAGATCTTGTTGGCGTTTATGCAGCAAATGCCAAACTTTATCCATCCCTGTTCAAATCAAGTTTAACATCAGAGGTCAAACACTTCAGGAACAAGATGTTCAGAGAGGTCAAACATCATTATCATCATGGTTCACCTCTTTAGCTGCATCAATGGACTCCAGGAAAGGTTCCTTCATATCAGCGAGCTCCTCGATACAGGCCTCTCCAGCGAAGGTCTCTTTCTTCATCGTGTCCAGCAGGGATCCCACTTTCTCCCAGAACTTCTGGAGCTCAACCAGAATTTGCTGGATTCTGGACAGGCACGCCTGGACCTCATCAAAGTGAGAAACGTTGGGAATCTGACCTGTGAAACCGGATAGAGAAGCAAATGAGCAAACCCAGAATCCACACGAGGAATATTTGTTCAGTATGAACGAGAAAACACTGCTGGATCTCACCGTTTTCCATCTTTAATTTGGCCAGCTGCAGCTGGTTGTCCATCAGCTTGTTCTGAATTTTCCACTCTTCTTCTTTCAGATGTTGCTGTGCACTGGTGAGCGAAGATAATGCAGTATTAAAAGCTTTGATTGCCTTTTCGTCTGAAGAGGATTTTACCATTTCCCAAATGTAACCAATAACACTTTCTGCAAATGGCACCATCATTGAAAATATGGACACTTTAGATCCCATCGTGGGCGTCCCTGCAGGTGTCTGTTCATCATTGGTGCTGGTGATCTTGTTGATAAATTTTTGTATCTCTGCATGTTTCTCATCAATCTTCTTCTCAGAACCCTCTATCTTTTTGTTGATGTTACGAAGGTTTTCTTCCAGGCCTTTCACAATCTTCTGAAGCGCCTCCATCTCACTGGTTTGTTTCTTCTGCTTCATCTCTGTCTCTTGCTTTTCAGCAGAGATGTCACTGGTTGAGTCGCGAACAGCAATGTTATGTTTCTGGTACCTGAATGTGCATGAAATGTCAGGTATTTTGAAACATTATCATCAGTTATGGTTTCTCTACATTATGCAAGTATATCATTTGGTAATGTTTATATTTTTACCTCTCCACAATTGCATTAACATCACTTATGATGTCACTGATCCACTCTTTGGCTTTGTCTAGGAATTTCAGTGCTAATTGTGGTTTGTTTTTCTCCACAGCCACCTTCAGAAAGGGCAGCAGTGATTTAACCAGGTTTTCACTGGTTCCTACACACTGTAAAGATGAAAATAAAAGAAGCTCTTGTCAAAAAAAGGATAATTTTCCATCAAAGGACAAATGGTTTATCACCTCTTCAGTATGATTCCTGTTGGGTAGATTGTTCAGATTTCTGTTGCTATAATAATCTGGGAGAAAGAGAACTCCTGGTCATTTCTTCCCTTGCCTGACTTCTGAAAACTATTGTGCCAAACCTTAACTCTCAGTACACAGTAAGCAACCTGTTGTAACTAAAGTTTGCATTATTGTTTACATTAGTTGAATAATATAGTGTAATACTGTTAAACCTCTAATCTAATTTTTGCTCATTCCTCCATTTTATTATCATTCTATTATAATATAATATGCCTCTTTTTTTATTTACAATCTGCCCATATTTTTAAGACATATTTGTTAGATATATCTCTGCTGTACAGTTAATTATTAATAGTTACTGGACGAGACGTTCCAAAAGCACTGATGTTCACTAAAACAGCACACAGGGATATTTCACTATGTGTATCTGGATTTAATAAAGTTGTTGGAAAATGAACATGGATACCTTCAACAGAACAGCTTCAGAGGATCCGAAAAGCAGTTGTGTTTCAATAGCTCGTTCTCTGATCAGACGCTCCAGCTTTGGGAAGCCTCCCAGACACAGGTAAGAGAGATGATAGAGAAGAGCTGTTCGCTCCGCAGACGGAAGAAGCTCCCGGATGAACTCTGGACTGCTTCCGGAATCCCTGGTGACAAGCTCTGAAACACCAAACCAAACATCAGTGATGGATAAAAACCTGTGAGCTCTGAAATAGTTAAATGACCCTTAAAAACTTTTCTTTTGTCTTTCTCTTGTTGAGCACCTGAAATGGACCATTTAATAATTGTTATATTAGGCACAAAATTGAAATAGAAACTCTCACCTTTGCTATCAGCCATGTTTTTCTACAGAGTGTACACTGGTGAAACTTCCTTTAGTCTCTAGAAATACAAGAGTAAGACACCATGTGGCATTTAATAGAATATACTCTATTGGAGGCAGCAGACAGACCAAATCTTAAAGATGTGTTATTTGTCACAGGCAGGAGTCAAAGAGTCAGGCAAGGTGGTGGGATGGGTCCTCATTAATAGCTGATGCCAGTGCCCTTTCGGTCCGATCTGTGCCCCCTGACCGCGATTTTAACCGAGGGGGAGCCCTGGCATTTCTCCCCAGCCTCTCCGGAGGTCTGTGCATTCCACTGCATTGAAGTTATTTATTCCGACATACGGCAGCAGCACAGCACATTAGTGAGCATGCAGTGGTTAACATGTTTACGTCTTCCGACATGGTTGTTTAACAGGTCATCAGAAGCAAAATTAACTTTTACATGTTTTTGAACTAAAATGTGTCTTGGCAGTGTGTGTACACATCCACCCTATAATGATAAAATTCCACCCAGTGCTTTTTTTTAAAATCCAGATAAATCCAAACCCCTTTTTCAAATCAAGCTATTCTCAGATTCTTGGCAGAATGACGTAGTTCTGCACAGGCCCCTCCCACTATAGTTGATTGACAGTGGTGTCAGTCTTTGGTTTTACCTTAGCTCCGCCCCTGAGTGACTGTCATCAGTCCGCCATTGTTTCACCGCTGAAGTAGATGTAGACAAGAATGACTCCTAAGCGATCGAGGTGTTCTGTTGTTGGATGTAATAATGAACAAAGCAGTCGTCATTTACTCCCGACATCTGAGCCGCTGAAGACGCAGTGGATTACATTGTTTCTGAAGGGAATGCGCCCCTGATCTACCTGCGTCTATGTTTGTGCGAATCATTCATGATCCAGCTTCACCTCCAGAAGAAGTGAATATAAGGAGTTTTTATAAATCTTTGCAAATCACCTTTCCTAATAATGTGCTAGTTAGCAAGTTCCGCGGCCCAACAGAATGGGCTGTGTACCAGTTAATTTTTTTATGCCCTTCACTCGCAAACTTCCCTTCATCTCGTTTACTCGGATGTACATCATTGATTACATTGCATGAGTGCCCACTACTGGCGGAACTCTTGCAATGGGCTGAACTGGAACATCCTAAACCCTTGATCACTTATAAGCACCAGCTATAGAGTTGGTTTTTTGTTTGCAATTTTCCCCTTGTTTGGTGCAGTATTCTGTATATATTCTTGTTTGGGGTGTGAATAAATTAAATGCGATCTGCGATGACATCATAATCGTGTTGCATTGTAGTCTATAGAGCGACCTGAAGTGTGCATATGAAGCAGACTCGCTCCCTCTGTCAAAATTGAGGGGTCAAGGCCAAGGGTCTGTCCATATAAACTTCCATCTTTCACTTCCCGAAGTGGAACGCACTTCAAAAAGTGCAGCGGGATTTCCCCGAGGAAAGTGCTAAGGGAAGTTTGCCAGTGTGTGTCTAATGCCGAGTTCACACTGCATGATTTTAGCCCGATTTTTCACTCGCCGTCAGGTTTTGCGAAATCGCAGACAAATGCCTGAAATCGGAGGCAAATCGATCCTCGTTCACGCAAGTGACAATCACGCAGTGTGAATTATCAAAGACGTGATCTGAGGGAATCGCAGACACGTCGCTGACGCCTGCAAAATATTTGGCATGCTAAATATCTGGAGCTGTCGGCGATTCACAATCACGCAGTGTGCAATGATTTCTGACTGAAAACTACATCGGCGATGACCTACAGCCAATGAGAGACCAAGATACAGGGCAGCGGGAAGTTCTGGGAGGAGTTATAGACCAGAATATCAGTATTTTAATAGATATATGAACAATTATATCATACAGAAACCAGCACAAACATTTGCTTGACCAGCCACAACATCAGCATAACAGTTACT